AAATACGACGCCTCTTTCATAACTCTATTTTTTCCATACAATTACCCTCTTTAGTTATTGGTTTATATATATCTCTCATTTCTCTTATTAATTGGTCTCGTACTTATTTATTGTACGAGTACTTCTTTCTCTTTGTTGAATTTTTGATGTCTTATGTTGTCTATTACCTACAGAACTTTATTTAACATTGATAACTTAATTGATCTTATATTCTCTACGGCTATAAATATTAATTAATAAATTTGTGTATCTTCATTGAGAAATGCAGTACTTAAGATGATTATAGAAAAAAGATACCAGGAAGAAGGAAAAAAATTTCGACAAACGATTCTGAAAAAATTTTAAAAAGAATTTGAGACCAATAAGTTTTTGTAGGAAAATGTTAAAAAATTTATCGGAATTTAAATTTGTCCAAAAAAAAATTCTGCTAATTGTCTGAAATATTATTATATTATATATATTTTATAGGAGTTAAATTGAGTCACGTTATCACAGTGATTCTAAGGATCCCCGTAGACCTGTTGAGATATTGTATTGCCGTATAAATATTGGGAGACTTAAACCCATTTTAAACCTTTGCTGAGATGCTGTATAATTAGATGCTATATACCGCAAAATTTGCAGTTGATTGAGATTGTTTAGAAAGTATATACCTAACATAGGTAAACTAAATTGCTCTTGTCCTTTACAACAACAGAAAAAGATATGAAGTGATTTCTACAACTTCCCCCATATGACACGATTCATTGAAAAGAATTTTTAATCTACTACAATGGTTTCCTAAGCGACAATGACCCTTCAGTAATAAGACTGATGTATCCACGAAACACTTTCTTTTTTTAAAGGTGACCAACTTACAGACAGGTATCTGCCTTCGTTTCTTCTCTCTACCTTGAAATGTAACTGTTTAATTATAGAAAATTACAATAATTGTTTGTATTGTTAGCATTACTACTGATATGTCTGAATTATTCAGAAGTTCAGAATGGGTTTCTAAGGTCATATTTTATACGATTTATGTAGAGAAGCATCTTATTTTACAAAAACATTTCATTGTTTTGTAAAGAGAAATTATATCAAAATTATTGTCATTAATTAATTATTAATTAATTAATTATTGTCATTATTATTGTCATATATATAATGTTTCTAAATATGTATAGCCTTAGAGGAGTATAAGATTTGTTTTTATAGTTTGCATTTTAATAATTTAATAGAAACGAAAGGGTTCTCTTTAATCCTTTCTGTACTTATTCAATAATTAATGTTATAAAAAAAATAATAATGTTAATGATTTTTTATTTTATAAATGTAAGGTTTCAAATATTTTAATTTAAATAACTTACACCTGCTCAAAAATACAGGCTCGGAAGATTCACTAACCAAGTAAGCCAATGGTTACTTATAACCTTAACTATTTAATGTATATTTATTGTTTAACTTAGATAATTTAACTTTATATATATATGTATTTAAAATTAATAGATATACATGAAGAAAGCAAATAGCTAATAAAAATAAAAAATACTATATTTTGGAAAAAGTCTCACGAAGCTCACTGTAAGAAAACGACTCCAATTAATCATAAGCAGAAGAGAACTCATTATGAAACATAAAATATAATATATAAAATATATGAAGTAACTCTTATAGAAAAATATATACAAAAATTATAAAGTTTTAATGTAAAAGACACTCAAGCAAAGTACATAAAATAATTGCAAAATATATATTTAAAAACACCTTAAAAACTGAAAAGAAATTAATTAGCACATTTTAATAAATAAATTTATTTATTATCTGTGCGTATACAAGTTTGTATATAATATAGTTTTAATACAATTTATTAACTTATTTAAAATACATGTAACTGATATTTATCTTTCTAATAGTTTAACTATTTATTGATATATATTATATAGTTTATTAATATAGAATTGATTGTAAACAAAACCTACAAACAAATTTTGAAATAAATCTTAACGTTCAACACCAAAATTATTAAATATCTTTTCCAACACTTAATCAATAAAAGTAGGATTTTTTTTTTAAAGCGCATATAACACCTACACGAGTATCTAAAAATACAACTCTGTAATAAAATATTTAAAATCAAAAGAATCAAATAAAATACATAGTAAGATTTAACCAAACTTCCATAACTTGAACTTCTATAACTCAAATAAAAATATTGTCCCGTGCCAATAGGAACGTGGGAAAGTGCATTCTATAAGTCAAATTTTTTGTTTTAAGTATGAATCCATGTTGGTGTTGGGGGAAGTCCCTTTTTCCAAATCAAATGTTTAATTTTTTTTCTTATGTTGCTTCTTTGTGCAAATGCCAGTCGCTGGCAGCGTGGTTTAAAGTAAATTAAATAACTTCCAATGTTTTCTTAAAGATTATATTGAGCTTGACAATGAAATTTGTACATCAAGCTTTCCTACAGATGACAATCCAATTCCAAGCGCAACGGAAAGTGTTGATAAGAGTTCGGTGGATGTAATTGTTCATCAGCCTTTCAAGAATGAAGTAGAAGATTCATTCAAAATTCTGAATTTATATTTGCAAACGAATGATACTACAACAGATGATCACTATAAGAGTAAGAATATAGTGGAATCTCTTTTTACTGAAAATAAAAAAATTACAGTCCCAAACCCTAATTTCTGAATATTTTACTTCAATATAATTTCTGTGCTTTATTTGATTGCAAATAAATAAATATCTTAAAATGTTGTTCTAGTTTTTTTCAAAAATAAATAATTCTCTAATCGAAGTCTCCATATCTCAAACCTTTTCTATGCAAAGTGGTACTTCGAGTATCATTTTGCTAGTAAACTGGAACAAAATGATTATGTCAACAATAAATAGTTTTGGAATCAAATGAAGAACATTCAATGGATCGTTTCTATGAAATGATGTCTATATGCGATCAAACCATTCAAGAAATATATGTAACGCAAAGATAATATGAAAAATAGCAATATTATTATTATATTATTATTTTTATTAAAATTATTAACGTGAAATCGACCAACAGCCAGCGCTGCGGCCAGAAGAGTCCTATTGTACCAATTTCACTATTGTTTACACAAAACCCTTTAAAGCTTTGTGAATAAAGTCGAGAACTAAGTCTAGAGAAAAGCTCTTAATCAGTTCTGGTAACAAAAATTCCATAAGGAATAAGTTTCTTCTCTGCTAGTAGTTTCCTCAACTTCGAGGCATAATCTATATTCCGCATTAACAGATAATCGTAGTTTATTTAGATGATATGTTCCGTAATGGAACCTGTTATCAACCTCAAATTACGTTTTAAGAATTTAAGAATGTATTTGTATGAATACGGTTTGATCAGTGTTTTGCCTTTGTCTAAAAAAATAGCGATTTAATATTAATATTATATATAGTATTTCAAAACATATATGATAGCTACAGGTAGACTTTACTTACTGTACAGAAAGTAGTAGTTTGTAATGATATTTAGAACCATTAAAATCTCCCACAAATTTTTAACAACGGCTTGCATTAAATAAACAGGTTCGGAGGCTGGTATATAGAGACAAATCAAAAGTATCTAGGTTAATATCTGTTCTAACCGGGCACTAAACTATAGAACGGCATGAAGGTGAGGCTCGGCACTACCTTGTTGTCTTTTTTAACACATTTTCTCGTAAGACTTCTTTTCTTAGATTATCGGTTTTAAGTATCGTTACTTTTTATTTAAATATAATATACAAATATAGCACATTTCTTCCGAATAATTGCACAGCTTTTGGATAACCTTTACACATATTTTTTTTAGAACAATTTTACATCAACACTTATTGTAGATATTGGAACAAACGATAACGTAACGATTGAATGTAATGCAGATTTCAATTTGTAAATTTGGGGTAACTTTTCTCATCAAAATTCACTTTTAGTGCACTCTTCATTTTAGATTGGTAAATCTCGAGAAACATGTATAACACTTGAGATTAATTTTTAACATTCTAGATATTTTACTAGAATTTTGAAAGATTATCCTATTTTATACGGCTTGACAGATAGAGTGTGATTAATTCGACATATATATTTTTGAAGAATATAAATGACTACTAGGAATAAACAGGGTACGAGCTGTCTAATAACACAACTACAAAAATATTAGATGGATTTTTAAAACTTTCGATTGGACAACAAAATTGGACTGACTAAATCTAAATTGTATCCAAATTTAACAATCGAAAACGCCATAAGATTTATAAGGTGGATGCATCAGAACTTCCTTAATTTCTTTCATCACAGACAAATTCGAAATAATCGCTAGAAGAGTCGATAGTAGTACACCTAAAATGAAGTATTATATCAAGTGGAATATATATTATTGTTAAAGCAAAATCTTCAATTAATTGCATCTATCACCGACTTCACTTCAGTCCCTTTTACACTTGTAAGATATCTTTCTTAGTATCCATTTCCCCTAGTGGGCCCAGGCCCACTGTCATTTCTCTTTCTATTGTTCTTCTCCAAGTTAAAGCCGATGCACTAGGGCGTCTGCTGCCTTGTAGGTTCCATGTCAATGCTTGTCGTGGAATGTATTTATTTGGTCGTCGGATAGTATGTCCTATCCATTTCCATTTTCGCATTTTTATTTCGGTTTTATTTCGGTAAGATATATACCTATATAAATAAATAATTGAAATTGAATTAGCTACAATCGTAACCAAATTATAATGCAAAAAGGTGCTTTAAGAAACTGTCAAGCCTTGCATAGATCGATCTCAAGCTTAACTAAAAAGCTTGAATTTTTCATTAATACAACTTTTGTAATATTTCTCAAAAAGGTTTCTACACTAAACCGCTTTACTAACTGGAGTATTATCTTTGTTTTTAAATATATTTTCCCAATAATCAACTAATCGGTGATTTATCAAGCAAAAACAAATTTCCTAACTATTTAAAAGTTATATCATAGCAATCTGCTTAGATTCATTATAATTCAACCTACAACTGAAATTCAAATTTTTTTTCAAGATAAAAATTAACTTCCGAAATGTTTACCTTTTACCGGATCTAAATTTAGAACTATTAACAATAGAAAAATTTCCAAATTTTAGTTATAGAAGGAATTCTTATGTAGTGTTGTGTGGTAATTAACTCCATAATTTTTAAACAAAAAATATTAAAAATAAATTATTTTTAAAAAATACTTTTAGATCAATCATTAGTAATATGCCTTCACTCGTTATAGCAGCCACAAATCAAGATTCGGCTCAGAAGACAGCTTCTCTATTTTCTGATGCAGTATCTAATTTAGTAAATGTTAAATCAGGACCTACTAAAAGACGTTTCCGCATTTGTGGCAAGGGCAAGCGAAAAAAATCAATATTCAAGGTTCACAGAAAACGTATTGCCCAAGAAAATATTATAATACACCCATCTGAAATTGCCATGGAACCTAATACACGCGGTAGACCAACTCGCTCCCGCCGAAAACGTCAAACTCGCAGTTCTCGTCTTTTAGGAGGTACTCACACTGCACAATCAACAGAACAGGGCCCCGCTTTTCTTCATGGACACCCAATTCTGCAGAATTTATTTGCGGTGTTCATAATTATAATGGGTTTCATCGCATCGTTTTTCGGTAAATTTATTTAAAAAATTTGTGTTTCGACACACTTGTAGTTTAACGGTACATCTCAAATAAAATATATCCGCATTAACTAACTTACTTTATTATTATTTATCAATTATATTATTTCTTCAATTTTCTTTTGTTATTTTTTAGTTTCGCATTTTATTGTGATACCTTTTTTAAAATTTTGCAAGAGAAAACAGTATGGCTACGACCCTGTGCCTGTGGATTCTGGACTTTTCTTAATGCCAGTCACTCTTTGAAAGTCTAGACACACATCAAAATGATTGAGCCGCAAATAATGAACAGGTACATGTAATCGAAATATTTTTAATTAATGTTAAATTATTTAATGTCAAAAGTTATCAACCTTTTATAAGTTATAAGTTTAACGAAATCCAATAATACAGGAAATAACATGCCTCCCTAAAACTTCACCCTGCAAAACCATAAATGACTGTGACTTGATTTATAATCGAAAGAGAATTAGGAACTTATAACACAAAATATAAAACATATAGTATATTCACGTATATATACTTCTTGAGTACTTCATTAGTCAACCTCCAATCTATGGATTTTGCTCGACTAAAACTTGGTTTTCTTTCCAGTTGTTACTAAATGATAGTCTAGCTTAGTATAATCTAGCTCTGTAAATAAAAACATAGGGTCTTATTTTTCAGTTTTCCTTTTCTGATTCTACGACCTTTTACATTATGAATCAATGAGAAATTCATGTTAGGCCCATTCTAAATTAAGCAGTTATTTTTTATATTATAAAAATTGCACCTACTAAATTACTATCTCTTGTATTGCGACACATTTGTTTTGGAACATAATACTTTCTGAGACTACACTTTTGTGCTCTATTTACTTTCTACTTGAAATGCAAAATTTTAAATGAGAACCTTATCGTTCATTTATTTCCAAACAGAAAACAGTCTGTAATCAGCCGCGCTACGAGTACTATTGGAAACGATTTAGGTTCAGTAAATTTAAATTTAACTAAGAATTAATTTTAGCTGTTAGTGCTTAAGTTACTTAACCTATTGAGATTTTGAAGTATACAAATTCTGACAAAAAAAAAACCATGCCAAAATTAATACCCACAGTTAAACTTAATAATGGCCAACATATGCCATCTATTGGTTTTGGTACATGGCGCTCTAATGAATCTGACGCAGAACGTTCAGTTAAAGATGCGATCGATATTGGATATCGTCATATAGACACCGCGTTTATGTATGAAAATGAACATGAGGTTGGAAGCGCCATTAACGCCAAACTTGCAGAAGGTGTAATTAAACGTGAAGACATATTTGTTGTCACTAAATTAGCTGGAGTGCATCATAATCCAGATATAGTAGAGCATGCTTGTCGCACAAGTTTAAAAAACCTTAATTTGAGTTATATTGATCAATATCTAATACACTTTCCGGTTGGCCAAGAATACGTTAGTGACGATAACTTATCTGGACCAGTGTCTAATGTGGATTATGTAGATACATGGCAAGCAATGGAGAAACTGGTTGATTTAGGTTTGGTACGTGGAATTGGATTGTCTAACTTCAATTCTGATCAAATACAACGTGTACTTGATATTGCTCGTATTAAGCCAGTGGTCAACCAGGTGGAATGTCATCCTGGTTTCAATCAAAAGAAATTAATTGAATTCTGCAAGAGAAACAACATTGTTGTAACTGCGTATTGTCCGCTTGCAAGACCCAAGCCAGCACAGCAATGGCCTCCATTTTTGTATGACGGCACCGCACAGAAATTGGCGGAAAAATATGGAAAGACATCAGCTCAGATTTGTTTACGTTACTTAATACAAATCGGCACGATTCCAATTCCCAAATCTGTCTCCAAGAACCGAATCGCTGAAAATTACGATGTTTTCGACTTTAAGTTAACAGAGGAAGACATTGGAATCATGGATCAATATCACAATGGACTTCGCACAGTTACTTATAGTGGACTATCACAACACAAATATTTTCCATTTAATACAGAATTTTAATATATTTTCAAAGTTTATATCACAAGTATAGTGCTGGAAATTATTTTCTAATAGAATTTATAAATATGTAGCAAATAATATATAATGTATATGAACCAGCTTATTTGTTATCATTTATTTACATGACACTTAAGTGACGCTAACACTCTTAAATGCAATTAAACATAATATAATAAATTCTCTACTTAAATAAAAACTAAATATTTACATATGTATATAAATACATATACATACGCTATAATAATATTAGGAACTTATTCAATATGATTTAATCAAGCCACTTAAATCATAGTAAGGAAATCTGAAGACGGCTTGTGAAGATACTAGTATATTCGGAGTGATGTTTCATTCTAATATTAAAATGCTCTTTGGAGTATCAAGTGTATAGTAAACACTATACTAAATTATTTTAAATAAATAGCAATATATAGAAATCTGGTCGAATTAAATTTTCGACTCCGCATTCTCTATAAACAGCCACAGAACATTAATGATACTGACTTCTTCCAGTACCAGCAGATTAAATACACAATAAATCTATTTCAAGTAAATTTAATACCTGAGCTAAGTTCAAAATCAATATAACCCAAGCCTGTACAGGTTTCGTCTTGAGGCTGTCAATAGCGTTTACAGTGACTCATTTAAGAGGATTCTGAAAACTAACTCAAAAGAATCCATTTCTTATTTCAAGTGGTGTTAAAAGTTCACCATTGTCTATGCGACTGGACTGAATATGGAAAACTATTCATTTCGCTTAAAAACAGTAATAATATTTAAACGAAAAGTCATATCACATTGCTAATGAGCGAGAATCATATTCCAAAAAATCATATTAAAAAGCTTTCAAAGTGGGTGCTAAATATGTCTCAACAGACGAGTAACACTAAATTACTTTCTGTCAACTAACAATATTATGAACTTCTTAAAGTCCATATCACTCGACAATTAAAAGTTTGAAGTTATGCAACTTAAGAGACGATTGCGAAATAGTACTCCTCCTTCACAAAGAAACTTCACACTCTAGAATTTTCCTATCAAAAAACAGAATTCATTAACTAATTCACCAGTTTAGACAATATGACGGAAAATATTAATAATAATAAGACTGTCACAATAATAGGACTATAACATAAGACTGTTAAAATTGATTGAATATATCGATATGATATTGGTTTTTATTATTTCATATAAATGCTCATCTTTGGATATTTTAAAGATTCTGAAATAGCAATATTTAGCCATTTTTAATATAGACCCCTAAAGGACGCTAATATTCCATATGATTCTAAAGAAAGTCTAAGTTCTTCAATTCTTCTTCACGACACAATTCCGTGACGTGACTAAAATCATAAGATCGCCCTAAAATTCCATATGATCCATAAGAAATTCCAAGTTCTTCAGAACGAGCTCTATGTTCTTTGAAGAGCTCTTCAACATTCATCCGTATTTTGATTTACAGTGTCAATAGTATCACAAATATTATTTTTTGGCCAGATATTTTTAATTATTCGCACTTTACAAATAATAATCTCTGAAGATCAGTGTTGATCGATCATAAATTTGTGTTGATCATAAATTTATCAAAATTAAAACTTTTCCAAGTAGATTTCATATTTTTGTATTTAATATTGTTAATTAAGCTTTATAACTATATATACATAGTACATATTTTTAATATAATATTTATAATATATAATATAATTTATATTTTTAATATAATATTTGTATTAAGTAACGTATTAAGTATTAAGTAATAATATTTACATAAGTGCAGTGCAAAAAATCTTTAAGTAATTTCAATTTACTTTACCTGAATTTACTCGAATTCGCACAAGGCCTATATATACAAACTAACTTTATGAATCCAAACATGAAATAAATGTTTGAACGAAAGATATGTGTCAGTGTGAACAGCAGTGTTCGTTTAAAATACATAAAACATATATTAGGAAAGATGTTTCATGTGTCAGTCTAAACAACACCTTATCAGTGTTTATTTACACCTGTGGCAATTATGTTGAATTTGTGTGGACATTCCAAAACAGTTCCATATATTCGAGACCTATGTATGTATATTATAATTCGCAAATATGAACCGAATTATTTTCTATTTGTAATAAGATCAGTAAAAAATTAATTATAATAAAAAATTTTATTAACATATTTTTACGTATGTTAATTAAAGAAATAATTTTCCATTGTAATATACGAATAATAGTAAAAATAATATTTTATGTATGTATATGCGAATTTAGTACTTGTTTCTTAAGTTACACATTAATTCCGCTCCTGTACATTTTTTTAAATTTATGCTTTATTCTGTTTCTCCAAACAGCTGTTTTGGGATGACATCACAATTGTGTTTTCCATGTTCAATTAAAAAAAACTTTCAAGCTTGCGGTAGCTGTGCTGCGTTGAGGCCGATCTAATCTTGTAAATAAAGTTTTGTATTTTTTTATATGTAATTTGCAAGTTGATAACTTTTTTTCATTTTTCAGGTAGTGATAAGACGAAAGTCTATGCAAATAATATTTTGGAACATTTAAAGGTCAACACATTATGCCGCAAATAGCACCTACACTTAAATTGAATAATGGCCAAGACATGCCAACTATCGGCCTTGGTACCTGGCGCTCTTATGAGTCAGATGCAGAGCGTTCTGTTAAAGATGCGATCGATATCGGATATCGTCATATAGATACTGCTTTTGTGTATGAAAACGAACATGAGATTGGAAGCGCCATTAATGCCAAACTTGCAGAAGGTGTAATTAAACGTGAAGACATATTTGTTGTCACTAAATTAGCTGGAGTGCATCATAATCCAGATATAGTAGAGCATGCTTGTCGCACAAGTTTAAAAAATCTTAATTTGAGTTATATTGATCAATATCTGATACACTTTCCGGTTGGCCAAGAATACGTTAGTGACGATAACTTATCTGGACCAGTATCTAATGTGGATTATGTAGATACATGGCAAGCAATGGAGAAACTGGTTGATTTAGGTTTGGTACGTGGAATTGGGTTGTCTAACTTCAATTCTGATCAAATACAACGTGTACTTGATATTGCTCGTATTAAGCCAGTGGTCAACCAGGTGGAATGTCATCCTGGTTTCAATCAAAAGAAATTAATTGAATTCTGCAAGAGAAACAACATTGTTGTAACTGCGTATTGTCCGCTTGCAAGACCCAAGCCAGCACAGCAATGGCCTCCATTTTTGTATGACGGCACCGCACAGAAATTGGCGGAAAAATATGGAAAGACATCAGCTCAGATTTGTTTACGTTACTTAATACAAATCGGCACGATTCCCATACCGAAGTCTGTGTCTAAGAACCGAATCGCTGAAAATTTCGATGTATTCGACTTTGAGTTGAAAGAAGAAGATATGATATTTATGGATAAATATCACAACGGACGTCGCACAATTCCTTTTAGTGGACTATCACAACACAAATATTTTCCGTTTAATACAGAATTTTAATATATTTTGGTATTTTTTAAAAAACAAAACAATAGATTTAGTGTACAATTTGTTGGAATTGGTTTCAGAAATTCTAAATTTCAAATACAGCCTGTGTAATTATAAATTACTTGTACCTTCTCATCAATAAATAGATTATTTTAGGCAAATAGTTGTTATTATTGTATATATTGAACTTGCAATAGACTTGAAAGAAACTGCTTTTTTAAAATCAAATCTTATTTAAAATTAATGGAAACATTTTAATGCTTGTATAGATGCATGGCTGTAAGCCAAATATAAAACTTAAATATTGAAAAGTATTTACTTATATCATTAGGGTCCATTAATAGTCCACGCCTGAAGCCCCTTTACATATGTACCTATCTAAGTAAGGACAACTTTAATATATCATGGAATGTTTTCGATAAGTGTTTCTGTCCAGTGCATAACTAAAGAAAAATGACAACAGACTTTTACCAGTTGCAGGATTTCCAATTTGTTGGTAGCGGTACTCTATTAATGGTTTTACAATTGATTATATTTAAAAGTTGATTCAACAGGTTATAATTCCTAAAATTGATTTATAACACATTCACACTGTCTCATTTAGGCGATTTTGATCATCCTCATTAGTGGCTATACTAATGGGGATGATTTACAATACAAAGCGCCTTTATATAAATGAGCTGATTATCAATAAATGTCGAATGCAACCCTTAAAATTCCCACAAGAAAAATATGTTATAAACTGTTGAGCTATAAACAAAAGCTATGAAAAAGTAAGTATTTAATAAATCTTTTGTTGTTATTAATTGAATATGTAATTGATACATAAAATGTATATAAATGATTTAATATATCAATTATATATTTAATTTTTTTGTGTGAAACATTATTAAGTGTAGTTTATAAATGACCTCATTATAAAGTAAACGTTCACTCATTAAGATAAATTAGCAAATGCTTAAATGAGACAGTGTAGATGTACTATTACTGAGTTCGTGTAATATAAAACGGCCTTATTTGGTTTTAACATGTCAACTGCTAAATTAGAGACTATCTATATTTCAGCGAAACTTAAGATACAAGTCATTCTATTGATAAAGAACATATATCACGTTTATTTTATTTTAATTTATAAAATTCGATTCTAAAAGTAAACAATAAATTGCAGTATTTTTGTAATATAATTACCAAATAATTTTTAAGTGATTAAAACATGGTTAAACTTTTAACAGGAGGGCTCGAAAGCCCTCAAAAGACGTAAAACTTTAGATTTGTTTATTAATTTAGGTGATGTTTCTAAGGAACCAGTTAGGCCTTATACACCAATATTTTATCTGTGTTTAATATAGATCTTATAACTACAATTTACCAAGAGCCATGGAAGCCAGGGCTGTAGACGAAAAGGAGACCAACCTGATCTGTATAGCTTTGAAAGCTTTTAGAAAAGAAGGATCTACCTTAATAAAGTTATTAGCTTGTATAAAAACAATTTTTTTTTTAAATTAAAAACTTGTTTACATTGCTAAATGATCGATTTGAAGTGAAGAATTTGCTCAGGGCGCCAAATTTTAAAACTCTCCACTGAATACGTAATTTGTAATATGTTGTAATTTATATAATTACAAATAACATATAATTACACTATATAGCTTTATAATTTAAATATATTCTAATAACCATAACATATTTTTATCAACATATGTATATGAATCAGAAACGTGCTTTTACTATAAAAATTATGAGTAATCCATTATATTCAAAAAATCGACAGGCAAAATGCAAAAGCGCAAGATTTATTGAAATTTTTTTTAATAAAATTAATAAATTAATAATTATATAAGTAATAATTTAATTGGAACATTTACAATAATTAATAAAATTGCAGTTAAATTATTTAAATTCTAAAGATTTCGTCGAAATGCAGTAATTCCAATTAGACCATATTTACTGGTCTAATTGTCGAAAATACCAATGCAAATATATGTGAAAATATTTTTACTTTTTTGTTGTGTCACGCTATTCGTGAAGATACATAATAATAGTGTTGCCAACTCTTAAAATAAATATTCAACATTTGAACAAAAAGTATTCATCTTTACTTGACAAAATTGAAGAATAATTTTATTATATGGACTTTTTAATTAGTATTTTTTAAATCTTATTGTATTTAATAAATAATTATTAAAATATTGATACATTTTAGCTACTTTGCACATATAAAATGATTTGTAAACTTATGTCTTTGCACCACTCTTGTGTAATTACACAAACTGATATAAATGTGTATTTACAATCATTGTACAAAATTATATCTGCAAAAAAACGAAGTGCGTAAAAATGCTGTAGCTTAATTGATTAATATTTTACAACTTGAAAATGTTAATAAAAACGAAATAATTTGCCGTAAATAAAAATATAATAAAAAATATTTTTAATTAACAAATTGTTTGATAAATAAACTAAAAAAAAAAATAACTCTAATACCCGAAATTTGCGGCTATGTTTTATTTTTTATATTCATAGTTCAAGGTCAGTCGTACTCTTGGAGTTGGTAGTCGTCTACTGTAACGCCTAAATGGCGGCGGGTGATATGTCAACAATAGGCTGTGCTGCAGCCCTCAAGAAATCTTCAAAATCCAAACATAATAACGATAAAGACGCAGTCTCGCACAATGGACGCAGCGAAAATGGTAATGGCCAGTTTATAACATCAAATATAAATATGCGCGGCGGTTTGCGTGTTTATAAAATAGTCATACTCGGCGATGGTGGAGTGGGAAAATCGGGTAAGCTCACCTTTGTTATATTTTGTGTGGTTTATATAAACACTAAAAAATCAATAATTTCATTACATGTGTTGTACAAATATTTTTTTTGGATTGGATACATCATTTGTTTATGGATTGCTCCTACTACAGCTGTAACATTACAATTTGTAAGCCATAGTTTTTTGGACTACCATGATCCAACAATTGGTAAGTTATAAGTAGTTAAGTAGTCCCTAAATATATTTCTCAGTATATTCGTTTTCCTTTATCATTTTTGTATCCGTCACATCAGTATCAGTAAAAAGTAAATCAATTTCCTTTTTATATCCACAAAAAGAATCGTACTAAAGTTTAACAATTTAAAAAAACTATAATTAATTTATTCGAATATTCTATAACTGATTTATAATACCATTTTATTGCAACAGAGCAAATGAATTTGTCAATTATCTCTCACTGCAAATCAACAAAACTCCAAGTAAGAACAATAAAGTTAAGCACGGTTTTGGGTCAGTTGGTAGTTGTATCAATTGGGTAA